GTATTTTTCGCATCACTTTAAAATATGGAGCGATGAAAATCAAAATGATGCCGTCAATACGAATAAACTCTTTTGCATATACCGGAGATGAGCACCGCCTTGCCCGGGGGCAAAGCTCTTTTAAGCTTTCTGTATATTTTGTATAGACGCGAGCAGAGTAAAAGCTCTCTCTGCCCGTCGCTGGCATTACTCCTAACGCAAATTTAATAGTGAGCCAAATATGTGAGTAGTTTATAGTGAAGAGAAAGTAAATAACGCTCTAGTGCTCTGAGCTTTTGAAATTGGAGCGCTCTTAAAAAATAAAACTCATCAGAGCGAGGGTGTATTTTGATGGATTTCCGAACTCTGGTTTAAGAAGTTTTAAGACTTGAATTTTCCATCTTTCGATCTAAAATCCCCTTTTTTCGGCGAGTTTTGGGAATATGGTAGAAATGTATCTGCAGGGCTCCACCGAAACCAGTAAAATTTTGAAAGTGGACTACGAGAAAAAAGTTTGGGAACCTCTGGTTTAGACGTTGCATATTTTGCATATATGAAATTTTGTTTCCCATGTATTTTGTTGTAGTATGTTTGCAAGTTATGCAACGTGCAACGGCTTTGCAAGATTACGAGAATACCCCTAATGTATTATGTACAGGAAACGGAAATTAATTATAATTTCACAAAACAATACTAATATGTAGTCCATGTATACTTGCACATACTATGTATGCGAATGTCTTTACAAAACTATCTACATATGTAACTTTGCATGCATTTATGGGATTCCTGGGTAGAATATTGCAATTTTACAAAATAGTATAAGAACGAAAAAAGTGCATTTGACTACAATTTAATTGGTGATAAATTTTGCAATTTGGTTGACATTGTTCACAAACTCTGATAAAAGCACACTAAAATGTTAACGTGAATGAGATAATGGATGGATGCATCATCATACATACCCGTAGAAGTATATTTTGCTATGCGCTCTTCAACATACTGAAGTAACTATTCTTTCATAATTTTTCTACTCGAGTGCCATAGCATACGTTTACGATTCTGAATATTAATGCATTTTTAAGCCTAATCGATTTTTCAGTGTCAATTGTATGAGTATTGTCACATTACTGGGCAATCAGTTTTGCATTTATTGGCCTACGCTGCCGTTTGTTTGCCTCTCACAGAAAGTGTTGCGTAGATTATCCGCTAATTGACTGGCAAATATGTATGTGTACGCAGCTTCATATTAAGTGCAATTACACACACATTTAGATTTACGTAAATGCGCTTGCACTCAAATGCAACAAAAGTGTAAAAGATAAACGAAGTGTGCGGTTGGAGGTTGGTAGTTGAGTTGCTTATGAACATGTTGAGCGACGAGCCTCCAAAGCTCAATTACTTACTTATTATCTACTTTTATTTATATAGCAATTGCTTATAGTACTATAGACTTTTTGCGTTGAGTGTAAATGCATAATATGGCAAATACGCGATGTTTCATAGTCGCTGCAATTACATACATATTTACACATGTGCATAATACATAGTACGTCATTGAACGACGCAACGTAAAGCGACGCGGATGCAATTTTGCGAAATGTAAACAAATCGTTAACGATACTTGTTGTTGTTTGTTGTTTATTTTTGTCGCTCAAATATGTAGAAACAAATAATTTTGTCAATATAGTACTCACGCGCATACAAAAATACATACACAAACAAAAAATGCAATTTAGCCCAAAGTGTAAGTGTTCGCAATATCGTAAAATCATTAGATAAATGCATAGTCAGTTTATTATGTGTTATTGCAATAATTATTGTTGTGTTTTTTTTTCTTGTTTTATTGTTGCGACTGCATTCTATTGTAAATTCAGATTGTTTTGTTGGCGTTGTGATCTTCCACATACTTCCATTTACATATGTATATATACGCTGGTTGTTTTTGTTTACAATAGTTGCGTTCGCGTTCGCAAAAAACTTGCAAAGTTGGGGAAATTGAGAGAGCAAAGCGACTTTTCATTTTGAGGGTAAGTTCTTTGTTTCTTCTGAAAAAAAATTTTTGCCAACAGGATAACACCTGATCAAAAACAGCTGGTAGGAATTTACGCAAATCACAAATTTGAATTTGATGGGTTGGAAGTTAAAAATGATAAAATGTGACTAATTAAGCTCGTAAGAACTAAGTAGTTATTCGTTAAATCAATAAACTGTGTCAGGATAACACTTCAGCTGTTCATCTAACTTGCAAGTTTCTGCAAGAACAGGTATTTATGTAAAAAAAATTTTAGTTTCACTAAAATTTTTGTATGTAATATGATGGAATTCCATCATAGCGTCATTATAATCACTTTGAGTCAATAGCCTAAATTCGTGACCTTAGATCTATATACATAGAACGAAACGAAAATGGTTAGAAAATAAAATATGTAGGTAGTTCGGTCTTTTAGAAAGCGGAGCATTTGCATCAAAATATAATTTTAGAAAAAGTGGACCTAGCTGCAGCTTTTGATTCTTAGCTAGCGATATGTATGTAGTTTTAAAAGGAATAATAAAATAGTTTTTTTTTAAATTAAATTTCGCTGCTTCTGACTGCGTTTTTGGCGATAAAAAAGCTAATGCGGAGAAATTTGGTTCACTAGTTCGGGGTTCCCTCAGGGACACGAATTTCGATACGATACGATACCACATCGATACTTTTGGCACTCGATACCGATATTTTCTACTCGATAGTTTTAAAACGATATTTTTTGGAATCGAGTACCAGAACCCTAGTATCGTATCGAATGTCATAAACTCACATTCCAACACGGAGGGAAAATAATTTTAGAATTAGAAAAAAACGTGCTAAATTGAACAAAATACGCATATGAAAGAGCACCAACCCAACTCGTTTTAAATTTGAGTATATACGTTATCAAATATGTGGTTGTGAAGTGCACAGATACTTCTTCGTAATTAAGAAGAAAAAAATTAATTTTATGTTCCGTCTGATGGTAATTCAACCCGGACCCTCTTGGCCGCAACCAATTGTGTCAAGCGTCTTTGCACACTCAGCTACAGCCATACATGTAAAGGTGTTTTCAAATGTTGAGTTTGAATCAACATCACAGCGCGCGATTAGTGCATTATGTCATACCATGTATGTGTGTATGTTTTGTCACCGCTGTGCATGCTTTGTATACATATACTTTCTTAATTACATATGAAAAAGCATCCGAGACGTGCAAAACGCCATCGGTGCAGTGAAAAATGCTTCCTTTTAATACGGCCGTATTTGAATTGAATATTTCCATTATATGTAAGTAGTGTATGTTTAATGGAAAAATCCATTTTGTTAAGACTTTTCACTTGATTTAAATACGAACATTTTTAAACGGTAATCAAGTAAAAAATTCATATTTGTTTTCTCAGTGAAGGATAATGGTATTAACAATTCAACCTAATATTACCGGCAAGAATTTTTCTACGCACGCACGCAAGTTTTTCTCATTTGATAAGCCCAAATCAATTTGCGTGCGTGAATTCTCAGAGTTGTATTTCTGTCAAATTTACAGAAGTTTGCCGAGAAAAATTTGAATTCATAGCCGCGCAAAAATGCCAATTGAGCATAAACGTCAAATCGAAATGTCACGCAAGACAAATCTTGGAATTTGAGTTAGCTTTTTACGCACGCAAATAACAATTCTTCCCGATATAAATTGGGCTTTAAAGTGCAGAAATTTGTACTATGGTTAGGATTCCATGTGGTGGGATTTGAACCCACGGCCTCGGTGTTTAAGTCAACACCTCAATCTCTACGTGTTATAATAATAATATAGTCCGGCGCTTACACAATATGTTAGTGTTTGGCCGAACTTCTCCTCCGATTTGTCGCGTGGGCCTTAATGTTGTGGCACTAAGGGGGTGACTACAGTTTTATGTCGACTCTGAACGGCGATTATATTTTATGGGAAGCTGTTTTTCATTTTCAAGGTTTGCGCACTTCTAACCACTACGCCCCAGCGGCCTATATGCGAGACCTATATTCAGATAAATTGTTTGGTTTTTGGTATCATATTTGGAATATCGAGTCTTTTTATTCCGATATTAATGGGTACCCGATATTTTTAAAACGATACTTTAAATGAGTACCATATCGATACTTTCGGTTCGATATCGTGTCCCTAGTTCCCTGCAGGCAATATGCATATGCACGTATGTGTGGAAAACACCAGGGTTGTTGCGAATATTATTCCGAAATAAAAGTCCTTTCCGGATAATAAACAAACCGCCTGTCCAAATTAAACAAATTTGGAATTAAATGAAAGAGGACTTAAATAGCTTTAAAACAGAAATGTCTAAACGAGGAAAGCCACATACTGAAAAATATTTCAATAAGAAATGTTAATTAATTACCATAGAACAAACCTTGTGTTAGGTATATGAATTTCTTTAGTATTAAATTATAAAAAAAATATAAATAGAGGTCGTTCGTTATTTCTGTTTAAAAGCTATTTCAGTCCTCTTACATATAATACCAAATTTGTTTAATTTGGACAGGCGGTTTGTTTATTATCCGGAAAGGACTTTTATTTGAGAATAATATCCGCAACAACCCTGGTAAACACAAATGTGTGTACATTCGCATCTATTTACATATATGTATGCAATTGGTGCACCAAATTTATAAATAAGAAAAAAGCCAACCTAAAATGCGGAAACGCACAAATTGACTTCTGCTGATACTGAAGAACTGCCTAAAGAATCATATTTCTAGTATATTAAAAAAAAAACGCTTAGTTTAGCAAACTCAAAATACTGAAATGCTTTAGCGTTGCAAACGGACGTGCATTATATAAAGCCGTATATTTTATTAAATATTTTCTGTACCATTTTCTTTGGTGCTATTTTTAAATATTGTAGTAAGCAGAATGTACGTTTATACAATGTAGTAGCTACATATTTCTTTATTTGCTATTTTTAAGTATTCGTTAATCACGTTCGAGCAGTTTATAATTTCTATTTTGCTTGCTTTGCAGCTTGAAGGCCTCAAATATGTGGCCGATACACCACATTTTCCGGAAAATGAAGAACCCAATATCTTGGGCCATGGCACACCAGTGGTTGAAAAATCTGATCCATTGGTCACAGAAAAGCTGATGAAAGTGAAAACGCTGTTGGATTTTGAAGAAGTAAGTGCAGTGATTAAATTTACACTTATAATAATAAATTTAAGTTTATTCAAAAAAATGTTTATTAAATTTTACCTAAGTTATTGCAAATCAGTTACATTTAGATCCATATGTTAATCAGTTACACATATTACGCGGGGTAAGCTTTTTGAAGCCTTCTATAGATTTTACTCGTATGCACAGTGACTCACACAAGTGTTCATGTATTTTTTTTTTAAGTATTCAAAACGTTTTTCAAGTTATTTTTTTATTTTTCTTATTTTTCTATAAAAGCCAATACCAAATAAATCAGAGTTTCAAACTTTATACAAAATTTAGGAAAATTCGTAAAATTTGCATAAAAATTTCGAGCTTTTTAATCTTAATCTTTACAACAATTTTGTGTATGGAGTTTTATAGCCCATACAGTCTTAGTCTCAGGAAGAGCAAGTTTCAAGCCTTTAAAAAATCTAGTTGATTTTAAAAATTTTTTGTTTGCTGATGGATTTTTGCTCTTTTTTCCATGTAATCATGAATTTCTTATGAAATAAAATGCGGAAGACCGTTCGCAGCAAAATGTCAAAAAATCAGCGCCAGCTTTCAGAAATTGCACTTGTTATATAAAACAAACCGCAAAAGCAACTTTTTAGCCGATTGAAACTTGCACTGAATCTAAGATGTTGTAAATGTTGTAAAGATTCATATTAAACAGCTCGAAATTTTGTTGAATTTTCCTAATTTTTGTATAAAATTTGAGACTTCGTTTTATATGGTTTTGAGTAAAGCTTTAAAAAAATCAACATGTGAACACTTGTGAGTCACTGTATATGGATGCGCGCAGATTATAAGCTCTTAGAATTGTAATGAAACATACATATAAAAAACATTTAAATTTGACTTATTCCAATAGTAAAAGTTTAAATAAATGCGGTAGTATTACTTTTTATTTCGTTCTACGTGAAAATTTTGCGACTCTGCCTACATTTAACGTTCGAGGAATGAAAGTTTGACAATCCGTTGCAAATACTTGGCAAATCAAATGGAATATAAAAGCTTTAAACACACCCTAATTTAACTCCGCAAATGTAAAAGTTCTAGACGTCCGCATCTAAAACTAATTGAGTTGAAAATTTCCGACTTCATCGAACTAATTCGACCAATTAACAGAATGTGCTATGTGAGTTTTTTTTATATCTATATTCGTATATTTTCGTGATAGCAAACAAATGGCAAGAGGTACATTGAATCCAGTAAAAATCTTCTATCCCATTTACCGGACTTTTATTTATATATCTTGAAGTTAGAGAGATTTTCTTTCGGCATATCAGACTGGTCTAAAATTTGCATTATTCATGAATCGTAACCCTGTAAGTCAGCATATATGCATACCCTGACGATTTGACGATTCTATTTATCTATATTTTCCATACTAAAATTTCCATTTTTTTTTAATGCAAATATAGTTCATTCAACAAATTTTAATTGAATTTTTTTCAGTTCCTTTTCTGAGAAAAATCTCGACTAAGTATTTTTTAGCCCAATATTACGGTTGATGAGAATTTTTTATTTTTTTTTGCCGAGGGTGTTGCGCATTTTCTTCCATATAACGCATGAAAACAATCTTTTTTATATGAAAGAAGATGTCTGGTTAACACTAACTACAGGCAAACATCGTTACCGACGACATCGACACTTAATTTTGATTTCGAATAAAATACGAAATCTGTGAAGCTTATGCGTTATGTATGCTTATTTATGCGCATATCTACATATGATTACTTAAGCACATACATACATACATCCATCCATACATAGCTACTACGTAAATATGCAGGCCGGATGCACTTGATAGCAGAAAATATAAGTATCTGTTGGCGGTTTGATCTCAACTGTTTTATAAGATTCTAGAGGAATTTTCCCTAGCTCCATCAAAAAAAATCCATAAAAAAAAATAATTTAAACAAATGTATTATCAGTTAATGTAAATTAATGCAAAAAATGCCTAGTAGCCACAATAAATACTGATAGTAATTATTCAAATAAACTGTTTCAGTAGCCCTTAAGTTTTTATAATATTTTTTTGTTTCACTGTTCTGCGCCACAAAGTCAAAAGTCATTCACGCATTTAGTAATGGCAATTTAATTTACACAATTCACGTGTTGTTAGCACGAGCATTGACAGAGGAAATGCATGTTTATGAAGATGTATGTATATACGCATACATATGTAGTTTATGTGCTTATTTTATTACGCTGGTGGGCCAATAAGTCCGTGACTGTTTAAACGAAAGATCTTTTTTCGTCTTGAAAATAGTTTATATACAATGACTCAAACAAGTGACTTCGTTTTAATTCTTTTTATATTCACAATGTTTTTTCTGGTTATTTTTCTTATTTTGCTATAAAATAATGGCCAAGGTTTACCCAATACCATATAAATCAAAGTTTCAAACTTTATAGAAAATTTAGGAAAATTAAAAAAAATGTGCATCAAAATTTCAAACCTTTTAATCTGAGACAGTGGAATATTTCTAGGTATGCATTTTTATAGCCCGTGCAATTTTAGTCCAATGAAGTGCAAGTTTCAAGCGCTGATTTTTTATATATTTTTTTTAAGTGACGGCTTTTGCGGTTTTTTAATGTAACAAGTGCAATTTAAAACTGGAAATGGACCGTAATGCCGTATGTAATGTAGCGATTAGAAGGGTATTATTTTCATTTATTTATTAACATGTAAAAAAATAAAGCTAGAAAAAAAACCGTAAAACCAAAAATGTAGATTTTTCGGCCAATAAAAAAATCATTCATGAGATTTTTGTCGATAAATATCAACAGTATAGATGTAAATTGCGAAAAACATTCACCCCCATTTTTTCCAAGTTGAAGCCAATTTCACAACTATTCTACTATTTTAAACATCTCTTTAACCAGCTCAACAATTATCAAAATGATTTATGTACTTAAACAAAAATCGCCAGAGTTTTGCTAATTTCGCTGTACCTATAATTTAGTTGTGGATAAAAAAAAATCAACATGCGGTCATTTATTTGAGTCACCATATGACTTTTTCACCATAGTGTCCTTTGTCTTCCAAATAATACAATTTTTCAAGACCCTCAAAATGGGCATATTCACGTTCGGTAGATGATTTAGTTGTTGCAACCATTTTTCTTTCCATCGAGCTATTTCATTATGTTGGAAACAGGTAATAATGACTAGAGAACATAGTGAATTAGACAGCCCTTCGAAACCAAACTTGTCAAACTGCTCAATGATTTAAACGCAGGTTAGCACCTGTGCAGTGTCTTAGTGGAGAAGTACCTACGCGAGTGTTTTTTCTTCAAAATGTTGTTGAAATGGTCCAATAATAAGTTGGAATATTATTCGTAATTGCCTTGTAAGCTGACAATATCATAAATACGGTTTTATTGAAACCTAAAAATCGAAACTTAAGCATTCTTTTTATCTAGACAAACTTGAGGCAAATGAATACTTTAAATGTCAGATTCTGATTACAAAAAAAAATCGAATAGTAGTGAGATTGCTGTGCCATTGGTCGTGCTATTGTCAAACTGTGGGTCGTCTGTCCATTTCAATAGAATTTTCAAGTTCGTGTACCGAATCACGCAGGCGTAAGCAAGAGCTACTGTATCTCCATATCGTGAATGACATAGTAAAAAAGTAAAAAAATGCCGAACTATACTATGCAAAAATAAAAATAAAAACATCTGCAGTTTTCTAAGCAAAACTGCGGCGATTCAGGCGTGAAAAAAATCTTTGCACCTGCCGAGTTCTAAGATCAGGGACCGCGAACAAAAGTTATGATCAAAACTAAGTGTCGTTCTCGTGGTTATGTTCCCAAGAAGCTTAAAAACCAAAAGCGAAATGAGAACAAAATTGTCGAGATCGTCCTTAATGGTAATTATAAAACGGAATATTACCAAAGAGAATAAAATGCGAACAATATTTTTGGGAACATTTCGAAGAGAATAAAATGGGAACAAAAGTCCCGAAACGTATTGACAAAGAACAAAACGGAACCAAAAGTCTAAGGAACTTACTCTCGAAGAATAATTAGGGAACCAAAGTCTACGGAACTTCCTGACTGAGAACGAAACGGGATCAAATCTTCTCTGAACTATTCAGCAAGGATGGAAGCGAGAACAAAATTTTTAGCATAGCATTCATCACTTTGAAATGTTTCAATATTAAAATTATTCAAAAAAGCACTGAAATATAATTATGCAAATTAAGTCAACGAAAGACTTAAGACACGAACTTTTCTCGCAGAGAAACTGAACATTTTTTTCATAAATGGACAGTTCAATCTAATGATAAACGATCTTGATAAAGGATCTGGAAGTTGAAAAGAAAAAGACGCACCTCCTCATTCTTAACGTTAAATTCTCAAGACTTTTGTTCTCGTTTAGCTATTTAGAAGAGATCTGTTACTTCTCAGCTAGAAAAGGTTGGCCACATCCCTTAATTGTGGCAATATCATAGTACTATGAATATACATATGCAGCATAAGATGATTAAACAATAAACAAACAAAAGTTCCTCAGAAATTGTTTCTTATTTGATCCTCCTTGAAAGTGCACTCCAAACTTTCGTTCTCATTGAAATCGTTCCCGAAAGTTTCGTTCTCATTCTGTTCTTCTTGAGAACATTCCGAGAGGTTTGTTCGCTTTTTGTTCCGTACGGAAACGTTCCCGAACCTTTTGCTCTCATTTCGTTCCCGTTCAAACTTTGTTCTGTTGTGGGAAAGTTCTTAACATTGCATTTTGTTCTGGTGCAGAAATAAAGCATTTTTCCGATATTATCAAATGATGTGCAATATAATTAATTTCGATATCAGCAATATATCAATTTCGGCTTTGGAGCTCGTCCTTTCAGACCGAATACCCAACACCAGTGTTAGTGCGGCTCAACAACTTGTCCTTTTCGACCGAACACAGCCTACTGGATCAGCGTTGCCGTTTTGGTCCAATTGGACCAAAATTGATTGGTTCATTATCCTT